TGTTTGTCTATTATTAGATAGGACTAGAGGCCCGGTGCATGAAAATTCATGACTTGGGGGGTCCCTCAGCCCGGCCTGTGCCCTCTCGCAGTCTGGGACCCTCGGGGGGTGTCCACCTGCCATCTTAGGCCTGCTCCCCAAGGAGCAGACATCCCTCTGGCAGTCCAGGAGCCCCCAGTCAGACATCCTTAGTGCTTCTGAGGAGGCAGGAGAGGATCCTGCCACTGCCGCTGAACTTGCAGCCATCAACCCAGCTTGTGGCTGAGCAGAGCTCCCCTGTGGGAGCACAATGACCACCAGGGGGCAGCTCTTGCATTGAGTGTCTGCCCCCTGATGGTCAGTGAGCATTATAGTGATCAATCATTCCTGGTCATTCCACAGTTAGGGTCAATTTGCATATTAGCCTTTTATTATATAGGATATTATGTTTTAAATGTTTAGAGTAGAAATTAGAATGCAATAGGATCATCTTACAGGATTTCTAAAAGATTAATTCACTCCATTCAGTTGGTGGGAGTCAGTAACAGCACACAGCTGTCTTCCTTCAATAGAGTCACCCCTTTGGGTTGTGTGTATATCAGCTGATTTTTTAATAAATTTGAGGCCCTTGTTGGATATGAAATGTGGATCAAAAGCCCTGTTAAAGGATCCCTCACCTTTACCTTACTTCCTTTACTCAGGCATCTTTTTTTCATCCTTAATAAAAAAGGTTTATTATTCAGTTTGTTCAGTTGTTTTGTCAATATTCATATCCTTTTCTCAAAGTGAAGGTCTCAGAAGAGCACAGTCTAAGGTTAAAGTCAACTCCTATTTTATGTGAGATTTGGGGGGGGTGGGAAATCACTTCAATTGGGGGTGGGGGTTGGTGGCTTGCAAAGTTACTGAAACTGACAAAGTTAATTGAAATTGCTCTTTGGGAAATATCAAAATGTGGAGGACTTCTTTGAGAGAATACGTTTTCCCACTCCATTGCCTTTTAATCTCATTTTGTCTAAGAATTGCATTTGGTGCCTTGGTTGACAAGTCTCTCTAATGTCATCCTCAGAAAAGAAAAATAATGTGGAGGGAAGCGGGAACACACAGTTATTAAAGTGACTGCGCCACCATGTGGACAAGGGTAAAGCTGCTGCCTGAGATAGAATTGAACCTTGCCTTACAAGGGAGAATTGGGCAGTTGAAAATGCCCCTCTGCCTATAGACAGGCAGACACACACACACACACACACACACACACACATATACATGCATGTACGCACATGCATGCACACACACACACATACACACACACACACACACACGATGCCCCGTAGCTCTATGTGTGCACTTCATAAAAGCTCCCATTGTTCCCTCAGCTCTAAGTAAATATTAATGCCTCCCAAGGCCTGCACTGCAGTGGCTGCTATTAAAATCCTTTTCTCTCCTTCTAATAATACACATAGAGATGATGGGTAATAAAAACTCTCTTCAAGGCTTCTGTCTCCCCCCACCCCTTCAAAACTGAGATCAAAGAATCGTGCTGAGAGGGTCAGTGGAGAAGAAAAGGCTTCCAGCAGCCGCGCATGTGGTTGTGACGGAAAATAACGATGTTCAAAGGGATTGCAGAGAAATCGCACAGTAAAACTTCTTTATTATGCTTTGCAGGGGCTGGATGTTTTTGCTTCATTAGGTGAGGGGGGTTGGAGGGTTGGATTACAGACCGTTAGCTATTTTTCAAAGCAACATGAAGGCAGAATTTCTCCTTCCGCTATAGGAAGTAGGCTTCACTTAAGACCATGGAGGTTCGATTTATTTTGGTTACCCCATTACTAAATCACACTTCACTCTATTGACTAAAAACCTTGATCTCCCTGGGAGCAGAGGTAGGTCTAGGTAATGAAAGGTAAGCGCTGGTAGGTATGGATGCCTGTGCATTCACACTATTGTCTTAGAGCTCATTAGAATAGGGCTGTTGTCTTCCTTTGAAATCAGTTACTAATGAGGAATAAAATAATCTTGAACTAATGCGAGATATAAATTTTGCCAAGAGGAAAGACAAGTACCTCTCCTGTAAATTTCACTAGTGAAGTTTTGGTTCTTGGTTGTTGGTATTTTTATTGCAACACAAAACAATCACAGAAAAAGGCATTTAACATAATGTTCAGCAGTCAAAATTTCTTAAAGTCAAAAACTCCAGTCTCTGCCACATGAAATTTTTGAAGAAAATACTCAATTTTAAACTGAAAAAATTTTTCTAATTTCCTCTCATCAGCATATTTCAATGGATACAGAATTCAGCTTAAAGATTTTGAAAAAAGCCTGGCTGGTGTGGCTCAGTGGCTGAGCCTCGACCTATGAACCAGGAGGTCTTGGTTCAATTCCTGGTCAGGGCATGTGCCTGGGTTGCCAGCTTGATCCCCAGTAGGAGGTATGCAGGAGGCAGCCAATCAATGATTCTCTGTCATCATTGATGTTTCTATCTCTCTCTCCCTCTCCCTAGCTCTCTCTGATATCAATAAACACATACGTTTTAAAAAAGAAATATTTTGGAAAAACCTCCACACATTGTGTATGACAGAGTAGCCTCAGCACATCTTCTTAAACTATAATCTGACTTCCATGCCTTCCTGTACCATCTTCAGATGACTTGGAGGAAGTGAAATGAAAGCTTTGTTCACCCAAAAAATTTAAGTGAATGTTCATTGTGACTTTATTTATAATTGCACCAAATTTGAAACATCCTAAATGTCTTTTATCAAGAGAATGGATAAACAAACTGTGCAACCTTCTTACCACAGAAAATTATTCACCAACCAAAAGGAACAATCTACTGATGCCTATAGCAACATG